CTCCAACGTGCTGGGTTACAGCATGGCCACTGCATCTGGCCCTCTTTTCTTTTCTTTTTTTTTTTTTTTTGAGTGGGGAACAGGGTCTCTTTCTGTTGCCCAGGCTGGAGTGTAGTGGTGTGATCATAGTTCACGACAAACTTGATCTCCTGGGCTCAAGAGATCCTCCTGTCTCAGCCTCCTGAGTAGTTGGGACCGCAGGTGTGTGTGACCACGTCTGGCTAATTTTTTAATCATGTTTTTGTAGAGATAAGGTCTTGCTATGTTGCCCAGGCTGGTCTTGAACTCCTGGGCCCAAGCGATCCTCCCAGCTCACCCTCCCAAAACAATGGGATTACAGGTGTGAGCTAGTGCGCCCAGCCACAGTCTGGTGTTTCTCAGCACTAGGCTGCCCAGGGCTGGAACCTAAAAGGTGTCACCCAGAGGGCCCTGAGCCAGTCCAGGATCCCACCCCATTTCACACCCAGGGCCAGAAGGTGGTGGGAGAGTCCCCACCATCAGCTCTCTGTCCAGACAGCTGCATACCTGGAGCCTTGGGCTTAACTCCTGCTCCGGTGGGAACTCCAGGGAGCACCCCCACACCGGGGAACCGAGCTCCTGCCGGGGGACAAAGCAGTGAGCATAGGAAGGCAGGCCTTGCAGGCCCTGCTGGGAACCCCTCCCCTCCTCAGGTCCCCCAGCTGACCTCCCTTGGGACCGACTGTCAGTGACAGGCACGGCTCACGGGGTGGGTGGAGAAAGGACCTGTTTAGTGCTGACTTTCCTTCCCTGTCTGGCTCAAGGTCAGAAGATCTGAGTTTTAATCCTATTTCCCAGCCATGTGAGCTTGTGCCTCAGTCAGCCTCATCTCTATGCTGGAGTTAATCACAAAAGCCGTCCCGACCACCCTCCGCAAAAAGGGTAAAGAGAGGGACAGCGGCTGGGTGGTGCCACTCGCCCGTAGACCAGGGAGGCCCATGCTCTCTGGGGCTCTCGTTCACAACCCAGGCCCCCAAAGCAGCCATCCAGCTACAGCTGGGACCATGCCAGCGTCTTCCACCTCTCCCGTCTCCCCTGGGGCTGGGCAGCCTTGGCTCTCGGCGTAGCAGAGGAGAGAGGGAGGAAGGGCCACTCTGTCAGCAAATCCCACAGAACAGCCTAAATCTGGGCTTTTGGGGGAATTCAGGAGGTCACATGTTGGGTGAGGTGGTCAGGCCCTGGCAGGGGAAAGGAGGGTGAGGGGCAGCTCTTTAGGATCTCCTGCAGGGCAGACTCATTGGGTGGCCCCCTGGTGACTCACAGCTTTTGGGAAACAGCTGGTCACTCTGGGGTCTGTCCTTGGGGGCCCGCCTCGGGCTGTGATGATGATCTGTGCCTGGGATCAGGACTTGGGTGGGGTGCAGGAAGGATGATTGACCTTTAGGGGATGGACGGACTGCCAGGGACCTTATGTCTGTTAGCCTGAGCTTTGGTGTTTGGGGAAATGGCTCAGGTCAGGACCCAGGGCTTCTGGTGGCCTCTGCTTTTCGGGGAGGCGAGGGGAGTACTAGGGAGGTTGAGGGGGCTGCTTTTCTGTTTCTTTTTCTTTTTCTTTGTTTTGAGACAGGGTCTTGCTCTGTCACCCGGGCTGCAGTGCAGTGGCGCCATCATAGCTCAATGCAGCCTGGACCTCCTGGGCTCAAGCAATCCTCCCACCTCAGCCTCCCGAGTAGCTGGGACTACAGGTGCACACCACCATGCCTGGCTAAATTTTTTCGTAGAGACGAGGGTCTTACTATGTTGCCCAGACTGGTCTCAAACTCCTGGCCTCAAGCCATCCTCCCGCCTCAGTCTCCCAAAGCAACGGGATTACAGGCGTGAGCCACTGAGTCCTGGCTGCTTTCTTCCTATACAGTCCCTGTTTCCCTCCTTGCCCTCACCTGTGCCTGGGAGCACTCCACCTGGGTATACACCTGGCAGCCCCACACCTGTGGCCAAAAGAAAGCAAAGTTATGAGCAGTAGCTCAGCCTCCAGGGATTCCCTCCCCGGCCCTCCCCACCCAGGCAGCTCCAAGGCCCTCAAACCCACAGCCCCTTGCCCGACGGGGCAGCCAGGGACAGACGTGGGGTGGCCACAACCCTCCTCCCACGAGTTTCGGAAGTCATCTGCAAACTCTTCGGTGTGTGGATTTATCTCTGTCTCCTGGAGCCTGTTTACACGGCTGGGCCAGCCCACCTCTGGCTAACAGCTTCCAGATGTCCCTCCCTGCTGTGTAGACTCAGGCAGTCTTTTGTTTAACCTGAAGTCACTTCCTAAAGGGCTTGGTTCGGCAGAACGAGTACCAGATGGGGAGTCAGAGGACACGGGGCTCCCCTAGCTCTGTCAGGACTTGCTGCAAGCCCTTCCACAGTGACTCGCCTCTTTGAGCCTCAGTTTCCCCATCTGTCGCCCGACAGCCTGCCACAGAGCCCGTCTCTTTCTACCCCAGGATCCTGGGAGAAGGGCCCAGGAAGTAGGCCAGGCCCCTCCTCCCCATTTCACAGACGCAGGCACCACACTTTGGGCCTGGCTAGTTTCTCTGCCCGACTGAAGCCAGGCCCTGCCCGCCCCTCCCTGCCCTCTGCCCCTCCCTGCCCTCTGTCCTCCAGCCCCAGGGACTCCGCACTGACCCGGCACTTTCCCAGGCTTCACTCCGGCTCCAGGCTGAGGAACCACCGCACCTGGTACAGAAGGGGCCACATCAGAGTTGGCTCCACCCAGGTCTGCAAGCTTGACCCAGGGAGTTCAGGGACAGCCATCGTACCTGTAGACACTCCTAAGCCACCAACACCGCCAACACCACCAATGCCACCAACTCCTGGGACACCACCGAGCCCAGCGCCTGCAGAGCCAGGATAGGTGAGGCATTGCACAAGGAACAGTGGGGAGGCAGAAGGGCCCGGGGCTGCATGCTGAGGGCCTGGCATTGAGGTCTGGCCCTGTTACTAACTCACCTGCAGGCTGGGCACAGCTAGCTGCCTCCCTGAGCCCCAGTAGATTGCAGCTAACAATCCCACCCACCCAGTTCCCAGGTCTGAGTTGAGGGGGTTCTTTGCAAAGCGGAGGGGCCCCATGGCAGCCAGAGGGCTTGTGGCATGCCCCAAAGAGCACCACTCACCAGCCTTGGCAGCTTTGTAAGCTGCAGCAGCATCAGCCACTCCGCCAGGCACCAGAGCCCCCGGAAAGGCACCTGCAGGGAAGGCGCCAAGCCCTGCGGAGGGGAGGATGGGGTGAGGTCCTGAGCTACCACACCCATGAAGACTCCTACACTGGCCCTGCCTGGCCGTGCCCCACTCAGGAAGCAGATTGGAGGCTCTTCTGCTGTCTGCCAGACATCAATGCCTGCAGGACATCTATGTGAGCACTGCTCACCAGTACTGGATTTTTTTTTTTTTTTAAAGACAAGGTCTCACTCTGTCACCCAGGCTGGAGTGCAGTGGTGCGATCTCGGCTCACCGCAGCCTCAACCTCCCAGGCTCAAGCAATCCTCCCACCTCAGCCTTCTGAGTAGGTGGGACTACAGGTGCATGCCACTGTGCCTGGCAATTTTTTTTTTTTTTTTTTTTTGTATTTTTTGTAGTGACAGGATTTCACCATCTTGTCCAGGCTGGTCTCGAACTCCCGGGCTCAAGCCATCTGCCCGTCTCAGCCTCCCAAAGTGCTAGGATTACAGGTGTGAGCCACTGTGCCTAAGCACCATAACTAGATTCTGTGCTGGGGTTAATGTGTCGGACAGCTCTGACAAAACTGTATGGCTCTTTCTTTTTTTTCCTTTAGCGATGGGGTCTTGTGGCTGGGCACGGTGGCTTGAGACTGTAATCCCAGCACTTTGGGAGGCCAAGGTGAGTGGATCACTTGAGGCCAGAAGTTCGAGACCAGCCTAGCCAACACGGGGAACCCTGTCTCTACTACGAATACAAAAATTAGCCGAGCGTGGTGGTGCACACCTGTAATCCCAGCTATTTGGGAGGCTGAGACACAAGAATCACTTGAACCCGAGGCGGAGGTTGTGGTGAGCTGAGATCGAGCCAGTGCACTCCAGCCTGGGTGACAGAGTGGGACTCTGTCTCAACAACAACAACAACAACAACAACAAAAGAGATGAAGTCTTTCTCTGTCACCCAGGCTGGAGTGTAGTGACATGATCATAGTTCTCTGAAGCCTTAGCCTCCTGGGCTCCAGTGATCCTCTCACTTCAGCCTTCCTGAAAACTGCATGGATCTTTTGGGGTCAAATTTCCCCACCCGCCTCCTCTAGAATGCCTTCCTGAACCCCTGCTGAGTTAAGTGACTCCCCTGGGCTTCCTTGGTCCGTGGGGCTTCCTCCATGCAGCCTTCACTACTATGTTATAAAGGAACCCAGGTACTCAGCTGCCATTTCCTCATGTCCTGGGCAGCTGCTTGGGGCAGGTGGTATCAGCATCAGTCCCCATCAGTGCCCAGGACGGAACCTGGCCTGTACCCTTGTTCCATGACTGTGCTCCATACCAGCCCTGGGTTGAGCTCAGGGTCTGGTCCCCACAAAGGGCATCTTGTTTGGGTGTCAGTACTCACCTGCCCCAAGGCCAGTGCCCGCAAGCCCTCCGGGACCTGTGGATAGGAAAACAGAGACAGGTGTATAGGCAGCATTCCGAGGCCCAGAGTGGGAAGGGTCTCATGGAGTTAGGGCAGTGCTGTGATCAGCCACTCAGGTCCCTGGGCTGGTCCCTAAGCCTGTGATGCTCAGGGTCGATCCTGATAAAATAGCATTCACCAGTAGTTTAGTGAGCGACTACTATGCGCAATGCAGGTGTCATTGCACCGATCCCTAACAAGCCTGGGCCAGCCCTGTGCTTCTCCTAGAAGTCCTGCTGGCTAACAGGATTCAGCAGGGCTTTCGGCAAGGGCTGGGACAGAGCAGAGTCCGTGAGCGAGACCTCACCCAGGCCAGTGAGATCTGTCTTCTGCTTGCTTGCAGATATCTCTTGACTCAGTCCCCTCCCCTTCACCTACATTGGGGAACTCCTGTGTCCCCACTACCCATCTGTCCTTCCATCCAGCCTGCCCTGCAGCCCAGGAGCCTCCTTGCTAAGATGTTTATGAGACATCAAATGGGTCCCTCTGGCTGTCTCCTCCCCACATCTGGGCCCAATCGCTTCGTCTCCCGCGCCGGGAGACATTCCATTGCCTTGGCCAGGACCAATGGGCCATCAGGTCGGAGTTCACAACCGTGCCAGGTTTGTTTCTAATTATGTGACGATCTCTCCTACAAGTGCCAGTCCTGAGCCCCAGGGGCGAGTCCTCTCCGGGGATGGATCCCAAACATGGAACCCGCTGTACCCTGGATAGGTCCCCCTTGGCTTTCCCTGGGTGTGGTCTCTGTTACTAACCACTCCTCGTCCCTCATTTCCTACTAGTGGGACCTGGACCCCTCTGAAACTCAGCCAGCCTCATGTAAGAAGCGTCTCTGCCTCTGGGCGGGAGCGCCTGGTGATCAGGCAGAAGTCACTTCCCAGCACTCGGGCCCTGCCCCACCAGCTCTGGCAGTCGCTTCTCTCAAGCCAGGCCTGTTTCCTGAGCTCTGAGAGGGCAAGGGACATGCTCAGACCTGTCCACAGAGGGACTGACAGCGGAAGCTGAGGACTGCACAGGAAGTGAGAAGAGGCTGGGACTGCAGTGGGGGACAGGTGGCTTCTCTGGAGCCATCTTCCTTTTTCCCATGATCCCAGCCTGAACGTCCTGTCCTGTGGCCTGACCACTTCTGCCTCTGCCTGCCCTCCTTCCTTTGCACTCACCTGCCCCAAATGCCCCAAGGATTCCAGCACCCGGAAAGGAGGAGAAAGTGGGGAGGGGCTGACCACAGCTGGGAGTCCAGGGACCTGGCCAGCCCCATCCTCCTTTCTTTCTGGAATCAGAGAGTTCTAGATTCAGACCCTGCTGCTGCTACCCAGCCTCCATGAGCACAAGCAGGTTAATTTGCCTCTCCGATCAGGCTCAGTTTTCACCATCTACAAAATGGCCATTATATCGCCTGCCTTCCTGGGACCAGTGAGTATGTGCGCAGAAAGCACCTAGTGTGTGCAACCTACCCAGGGCGCACAGTGGGTGCTCCCAGGTCCTTCTTGTCCTTGCCTGTGACCCTCTCAGTGGGCGACTGGCCTCTGGCTAGTGCTCAGGGTGTGGGGCCTGCAGACTCCCAGCTGCCCGGTCCCCCGCTGAGAGCTGAGGCAGGGCGGGGCCAGCTTGGACCCGTGGTGGCGCCCACGTGGAAAAGCAGCTGCCAGGCCACCCACCCTCTGTCACCAAGGGATTAATTGTTCCCAGGCATGACACGCGCTGCCTGTGCCCCATTCCATTCTGCCTGGGCAGGCCCGGACGTCCAGGCAGCCCGGATGTGGGGGCTTCCCTGGGGGTGCCATGGGGGCTCTGCCAACCCTTTTGTAGCCCTGAGTCTTCGGGGAGGTCATGGAATCCAGCCCCTTGCCTGGAAACAGCGCCCTTTTTATCAGAAGGAGATGCTCTGACTTTCCTTTGGACTGACTCCTTCACCCTGAGCTGGAAGTTCTTTCAGAAGTCTAACCTAAATCTTTCATTAACAAAAGCTTCACTTTCGCAACTACACATCCTGGAACTCCACAGGGAGTTGTCTGTCTTTCCTCCGGTGTTTAACCACAACCTGCTCTGTGTCTCTTGCTGCTAGTGGGATCAATGAATGTACCTTCCAGCTTTGCAGGCACAGCCTCCTCAATTTGGGTCTTCTAGGCCAAGCACAGACCTACCTCCGCACCTCTGTGCCACTGTCATCTCCCCTGTCCTCTCTCCACCATCAAAGACCCTGCTAAGAACTCTCACCCACTCCAGGAGGACAGGGTATAGGTGCTGGCAGGGATAAGTGGCAAGCCCCCAGGGTCTCCTGGCCTTGCAGAGCCCTGTAGACCCCAGGCACCCCACTCTCCCGCCTCTCCTGGACCCAGCCCCGGTGTTTCACAACCCAGATGGACTTTCAGCGCAGGGGAATCTGGGTCTTGAAGATTCATTTGCACTTGGATTATCAACGATCAGGATTTCATAAGAGCTCTTGGACATCTAAACTGTGTCTTGGAGACTTGGGCTTCTGAGCCAGGGCAACACAGCTCAGGGTGTGGGGCGGCCAAAGTCACATGTGGAGCGTCTCATGCCGAGGGGCCATCAATCTGGAGAGAGACGCTGTTTCCTCCACCTGCTCCTTATCCGCCAGTATTTCCCGGAGGGACCTGCCCCGCCCTCCTTCCTGGGGGTGCATTCCCCAGAGCTGAGAGTGGACCCTCGTGGCAGATCCCAATCCCTTGGGTGAGGCCAGGATAGATCCGGCCACACCTTCTTACTGGAAAACTCCATGGTCTGGACACAGCTGGAAGGGGCCTGAGATTAGGAGGGGAGCTTATCCGGGACCAGGGTTGTGCTCAGCTTGGGCTTGGGGTCAGGGCTTGGCCTGAGGCCAGGATTGGGAGTCCTGTGGGACCAGGGTCAGCAGGGTCAGGGTTCAGCCTGGGGTTAGGCTCAGGGCTTGGACTGGGGTTAAGCTTCAGCTTGAGACCGGTGCTCTGTCTGGAGTCAGGAGAAGGGCTCAGAATGGCATCAAGGTCAGGGCGATCTGGGGTCAAGGGCTAGGAGATCACTCAGGGGAAGTCTGGGGCTGAGGATCTGGGGCTGAGCTCCCAAGAGTCATGTAAGGCTTGGAGGCCACTGGAACTGGAGCAATCCCTGACGTTGCCTCTAGTGCCGAGGCTCTGAGACAGCCTCTCCTTTGCAGAGAGGAGTTTCTGGACAGCTGGGTGCACACACAAGCACGTGTAGGGTAGATGCTAGACGCCCTCACACAGGGAGGACGTGGAGCTGCTTGCAGCCTCCTGTTCCTGGAAGCCCCGGGACCTGGCCCAGGCCTACGCATCCTTGGGAGGCTAATCGGTGTCCACACCTCCCTCCTTCCTCCTGCCCATTGGCTTCCTTGTCCTGTTCCCACCTTCCTTGTCTCTTTCCCAGTTGGGTAGTTTCCTCCCTCCCCAGCCCCCTCGCTCGCTCTCAGTGCTCGGAGGCCTTGGGTCTTACCTGGCTTGAGAGGTTTGCCTCCAGGCCCCAGCGCTGCAGATGGAAGAGAAGATAGTGAACGGGGGTGCCCAGCTCATCCATCTACTACTTATCCAACCCCCGTCCCAGGGAAAGTGTGGGCAGTGTGGAATCTCACGCCCCAGGTCCTCCCCTTCAGACACGGAGCCCCTGGGAACCTAGCTCTACTTCTAACTCATGGTTTATACTCTTTGAGCCCCAGAGTCTCAGCCTCAAAATGGGATGATGGGCCGGGCGCGGTGGCTCATGCCTGTAATCCCAGCACTTTGGGAGGCTGAGGCAGGCGGATCATCGGAGGTCAGGAGTTTGAGACCAGCCTGGCCAACATGGTGAAACCCTGCTCTACTAAAAATATAAAAATTAGCCGGGCGTGGTGGCGCATGCCTGTAATCCCAGCTACTCGGGAGGCTGAGGCAGGAGAATCACTTGAACCTGGGAGGTGGAGGTTGCAGTGAGCCAAGATCGCTCCACTGCACTCCAGCCTGGGTGACAAGAGCAAGACTTTGTCTCAAAACAAAAAAAAAGGATGATGGTGCCTGTTCAGCTGGCTTGGCAGGGAGGGTTTTGAGGATCAAAAGAAATAGGAAGGGGCTGGGCAAGGTGGTTCACGCCTATAAACCCAGCACTTTGAGAGGCCGAGGCAGGCAGATTGCTTGAGGTTGGGAGTTTGAGACCAGCCTGGCCAACATGATGAAACCCTGTATCGGCAGGGCGCGGTGGCTCACGCCTGTAATCCCAGAACTTTGGGAGGCCGAGGAGGGTGGATCACGAGGTCAGGAGATCGATACCATCCTGGCTAACACGGTGAAACCCCTTCTCTACTAAAAAAGACAAAAAGTTAGCCGGGCGTGGTGGCGGGCACCTGTAGTCCCTGCTACTTGGGAGGCTGGGGCAGGAGAATGGCATGAACCCGGGAGGCGGAGCTTGCAGTGAGCCGAGATCGCGCCACTACACTCCAGCCTGGGCGACAGAGTGAGACTCCGTCTCAAAAGAAAAAAAAAAAAAAAGAAACCCTGTCTCTAGAAAAAATACAAAAATAAGCTGGGCGTGGTGGCACACGCCTGTAGTCCTGGCTAATTGGGAGGCTGAGGGAGGAGAATCACTTGAACCTGGGAGGCAGAGGCTGCAGTGAGCTTAGATCATGCCACTGCACTCCAGCCTGGGCGACAGAATGAGACTCTGTCCCTCCCCCGGCCCTACCCTCCTCCAGGGGAAAAAAAAAAAAAAAAGAAAGGAAGGTAGAGAGCACCAGGGATAAAGTCTAGGGCAGGCACTGGGAAGGCCAATGGGTTCTGGTTCTCAAGGAAGCCTCTTCCCCCCGCCTGGACACTGTCTGTGAAATGAGGGAGTCCTCGATGCTTGGGCCTCCTACGGTTATCAGGTCTGAGAATGCGTGTGGCTCGGGTGAAACCCAGGCCCCTTCAGTGAGGAACAAGTGTGGTTTCTGAGCTCACCTCCTCCTCCAAGGCCTCCGAGACCAGCCCCTGTAGGGGGAGAGAGAGAGAGAGAGAGCATCAGTATTCCTGCCAGGCAAGCTGGCTGCCACCCCCAGCTATGGGTGAATCCACCCCTGCCTAACACGGGACCTTGGGCAAGCCCTGTCCTCTGCAAGCCTCAGTTTTCTCTTCTGCTTGGCCAGCAGTCCAGTGCCAGTTTGTATCTGGGGGAGTGCTGGTGTCTCTCCCCACTTCCATGTCACTTCTGCACACTCAAATACTTTTTAAGTATTGAAAGCATTACTTTCGATTTTTCTTTTCTTTTTTTTCTTTTCCTTTTTAGAGACAGGGTTTTACTCTGTCACCCAGACTTCAGTGCAGTGAAGCAATCATAGCTCACCACAGCCTTGAACTCCTAGGCTCAAGTGATCCTCCTGCCTCAGCCTCCCCAGTAGCTAGGACTACAGGTATGCACCACCATGCCCAGCTAATTCTTTTTTTTAATTTCTATACTGCATTTTCATTTTTCTCAACATAGAACATGGCTAAAATTTTTAATTTTCGTGTGTGTGTGTGTGTAGAGAGGGGGATCTCCCTATGTTGTTCAGGCTGGTCTCAAACTCCTGGCCTCAAGCAGTCTCCTTTCTCTGCCTCCCAGAGTGTTGAGATTACAGGCGTGAGCCACCGTGTCCAGCCTGTATGCTCTTAATAGCTGTAAATCAGTGTCTTGTTAATTGCATTTTAAGTGGGCATGACTTCCGGTAGGTGTGTCAATGTTCCTACCTTCTGTAGTGTCAAAGTGTGCATCTATTATGGACATCATCATCATCTGCATGACTTGGGTGTGTGGAAGTTTCATGTACATTACCTGGATAATAGACTCCTCCAGGAACTCCACCAGGAATGGCCCCAGGGACTCCTGGAAGGAAACAGGTAGAGTCAGTCCTCCAGGAGCCAGAACTATTAGGTTGGTGCAAAAGTAACTGTGGTTTTTGCCATTACTTTCAATGGCAAAACCCAGAATTACATGGAAACAAGAATGATGCTGATGATAATAATGACATTGCTTGTCTCCAGAGCAATTTACAAAGTGTATACTTTGTGTTTACAAAGTGTGTTCCCATTCTTGCTCTTTGAAATCGGCCTGTGAAGTTGGAAGGGCAGGGCTTACTGTCATCATTTTGTTTTGTTTGGGACAGACAGTCTCGGCCTGTTACCCAGGCTGGAGAGCGTGGCGGGATCTCAGCGCACTGCAACCTCCGCCTCCCCGGTTCAAGCGATTCTCCTGCCTCAGCCTCCTGAGTAGCTGGGATTACAGATGCATGCCACCACGCACAGCTAATTTCTGTATTTTTAGTAGAGATAGGGTTTCACTATGTTGGGCAGGCTGGTTTTGAACCCCTGACCTCAAGTGATCTGCCTGCCTCGGCCTCCCAAAGTGCTGGGATTACAGGTGTGAGCCACAACTCCCAGAGACTATCATTTTAACAGACGTGAAATCAGGTTCAGAGAGGTTAAGGGACATGCCTGGGGCCACACAGCTGGAAAGAGACGGAGCCTGGATTCGAGCTCAGGCCAGTCCTTTATTTTCGAGACAGAGTCTTGCTGTGTCGCCCAGGCTGGAGTGCAGTGGCACGATCTCAGCTCACTGCAACTTTCTCCTCCCAGGTTCAAGCGATTCTCCTGCCTCAGCCTCCCAAGTAGCTGGGACTATAGGCATGCACCCCCATGCCTGGCTAATTCATTTTTTTGTAAAGACAAGGTGTCAGTATGTTGCCCAGGCTGGTCTGGAACTCCTGGGCTCAAGTGATCCTCCTGCCTTGGCCTCCCAAAGTGCTGGGATGACAGGCCCCTGTGCCCTGCTGCCAGTCCTTGGAGTATGATGGTTCTTGCTGTGTTACCTGGCTCTCCCTGGAGTCAGGGAGAGGGCCTGGGGTGGAAAACACTGGGTCTGAGCACCTCTCACCAGGCAGCCCACTCTCTTCCTGAGCTGAGCTGCCGGGTAGGGGCCAGAGCTTTGGGAAGGGCAGGCCGGGCTGCTACAGCAAGCATTAAGGAGGTGCAGCTGCCAGCACAAATGCAGCCATTCCCACACTGATAGGACGGCGTGAGGTCAGCGTCCTCAGCCACTGGGCAGCCGAGCTTGGGTGGGGCTCTGGCCGTCTGACACGGGCTGTCTTAGGAGGCGCCGGGGCCGCAGGGGGACGCCATGAATGAGCACAGTGAATAGTTTCCTAAGGAAAAGCGAATTCACCGGCCAGGCAGGATCACGAGTTCAGTCCCCATGGACCAGTGAAGCTCTCACTGGGGAACGCTGTGATGCTGGATCCAGACCCTGCCTGAGCCATCACCATGGCAACAGACGGGGTCCCAAACTGGGGCCTTGGCTCCACCTCAGAAGGCCCCCCTCTGAGCTTGACAAGCCACCTTGCCAAAGCCCCAGCCCAGCCCTCCCTCACTGCTTTTTCTGAAAGGAGCTGAGAGCCCCGTGGGGCATGGGCGTGGCTGGGGGATGGTGTCTCTGCAATGTGTTCACGGAGGCCTTGCGGCCAGACGTCTGGCCTCCAAGGCCTGGCGACGCTGCACAGCTGGGCTTGCTGGCCCCAGGGCCCTGTCAGCCTCAGCTGCAGCCCAGCAGGGTCAGGGCTGTGGAGCTGTCACAGCCGCCTGTGCCAAGACCCCGGCGCCACCCCCTCTCAGGGCTTGTGGCTCCTCAGGCACTGCAATCCAGGCCTGAAGTGTGCGAGTAATCTGGTCAGAACCTCAAGGCTTGGAGTGGTGGCCCCAGGGGGGCTGGGCCTGCTGGGAAGGAGCACTTGGGTCCTGTCATCCGTTGCCAGCACACACATGGCCCGCCTCGGGCCTCTGATGCCTTCCCTGGCTCCGGCCTCCAGCTCTTAACAGTCTCTTATGTGTCTTTCTCTGCCTTGGCCTCTCTCCTTCCTCCTCTTTCTCCCCCTCTCCCTCCTTCTTCATGTCCCTCTCTCCCTTCCTCTCTACTCTCCGGCTCCAGAGCAGACTGCAGGGAACAGTGTGGTGGAGGTGGGGGGAAGAGCAAAGCGCTCAGAGCAGACCCCTCTGGCTTCTAATTCTGGCTTCGCTGCTTCTTACCATCTGTGTGACCTTGGGTAAGTCACTCAACCTCTCTGAACATCGGTTTCCTTTTCTGCGACACAGGGCAGATAATCACTTGGTTGCTGCAAGGTTGCAAGGTTGCTGCAAATTGTAAAAGGGTTCAAGTAACAGGCTATATCCTCTTCTGGAGCTGGCACACAGGAATTGCTCAAAAATAAAAAGACAGTGGCCCTTACGTTTCATTTTCTTCCCATTTCACTGCACAGTCGGTTGTCCAGGGCCAGGTATACAGTAGTTACTCAATACATGATGGGTGAATTAAGGAGAGGGGAGGCAGGGAGGTTGTCTGTGAATCCGGCTCTAACCTGTTTCATCCCCGTCTGCCCTGGGAGTCCCCCTGCCTTGGGCTTGTTGAGCCCCCGCGCCTGGCTGAACCCTGACTTCCTTTCTCCTGGGGTTCTGCCCTCCTGCACCCCAGGCACTTTCTGGGGGGAAAGACTTAGCTTCCTCTCCCCCAGATCTCCTCTGTCCCCACTGTCCACCCCCACCATTCAGATCCTGATGATGGTGGCGTTTGCCAAACTTCACGCCTGAACCGCGATAGCCTGGGGAGCCCGAGGTTTTAATCCCCATTTTGCAATGAGGGAATGGAGAAGGTTTAGGGGCTGCGAAGGATCCCTGCCTCTCTGCAAGTGAGAGGGGTGAGAATAAAATTAGACAGCAGCTGGAAATTGGAAAGGGCTTTGAAAAGGTAACAGCCGCTTCCCCGGGCCCCACAGGGCATCCTCACTTCTCCCTCCACTCCTTGGCACAAGCCGTTTCTCCTGCCAGGAATGTCCTTGCCTCCGTCCAAGCCCTACCCCTGCACCAGGGCTGAGCTCAGACTCTCCTGCCTGCCTTTCCCGAGCCCACGGCTCTCCCTGACTGTGTTGCTCAGCTGGCCCTAAGCAGTTGGCCTGGAGAACACTTGTCTTGTTTTATGTGGTTTTGGCATGTTTCACTGACTAGCCCAGGGTGGAACTTGTCTCTTGCATCTTAGAATCACGATCCTAGACTCTCAGGGATCATAACAGTCTTCTGGCCTGGGCTGGACCTCCTTCCTCAAACATCCTTCGTGTTCTGCTTGCATACCTCCCATGACAGGAAAATCACCACCTCCAGATACTGTCAGCACTGACTGCAGACAGGACTTCCTCCGACTGAGAGTCTGCTCTTCTGTCTCTTCGGTTCTGCCTGCCAGAGCCTGTAGTCTGGGACTTACCCCTCATCCACGGACAGCTCCTCCAACATTTACCTTTCTTTCTTATTTATTTATTTTTAAATGTTCATTTATTTATTTTTTAAATAGAGATAGAGGCCTCCCTATGTTGCCCAGCTGGTCTCAAACTCCTGGGCTCAAGTAATCTGCCCACGTGGGCCTCCCAAAGTGCTGGGATTACAGGCATGAGTCACTGCACCTGGCCCCATTTACCTTTCTCCTTAGGTCTAACTCAAATGTCACTTCTGCCGGGAAGCCTTCCTGGATTTCCCAAGGCTCCTTCTGGCCACCCCCAACCCAGTCCTGTCTGCTTCTTTCATCATTGCACCTCTATTTACACATTAGCTGCCTCTCCACTAGACAAAACATGGTGTAAGTAGCGAGAGGGAGTATTAAACCTTAGCAATGTGCACTAATTACAAGGATCCATGAGCCCAAATTAGCAGACTCTGAATAAGATAATAGATTATTTTTAAAATGTCCATTCCCACGGTCCTTTTATTTGATGCATTTTTTTCCCCAGATATTACATTGCTGGAACCTCTCATTGGCTCTGGGAGATACTTCAGGCAGGGCTGTTTCTCTCCATTTTGCAGCCAGGGAAATGGAGAACCAGCGAGCTAAAGTGCCTAGTCTGGGACCCCTAGCTGACCCCAAGTCACACGTAGGGCCATTTGCCCGGGCCCTGGGCTCCAGGTTCAAAGAGTTGGAAGCAGCCTGTTTGGGAGCGAGCCTGGGGCCAGCCGGCCTTGGCAGGGGGCTTTGCCAAACCAAAGTCCAGGGGACTGACTTGGGGAGCAGATAAGACCACACCAAGCTGTTTGTTGTTTGCATGCAGAAGGCTGCCAAGGGTTTTCAAAAACAAGCTGTCCTCCACTGGGTGACTGTGTCCCCTCCCACACAGGGCACATTTGCCCTCATGCCAGGGCCTCAGCAGACACACAGAGCGGAATCAACCTCTAAACCAGTGCTTCTTGGCTCTGGCGACCCATCGTCACCTGGGGAGCTTGAAAAGTCTGTGTCCAGGTCCCTCCCCAACCAAAGCAAGCAGGGATTTTTGGGTGGGAAGTCTAATAGATAGCCAGGTTGAAAACCTCTGTTCCTGCGTAAGGACGGGAAAAAAATAATTAAAAAAATATTTTAAAAGAGGCAGTGGTTCATGCCTGTAATCCAAGCACTTTGGGAGGCCGAGGTGGGAGGACTTGAGCCCAGAAATTCAGATCAGCTTGGACAACACAGCGAGACCCTGTCTCAGTTTAAAAAAATAAAAAAGGTAAAAAATAAAAAGAAAAAAGAAAAAGAAAAGAAAAGGAAAGCTCTGTTCCAAACCATCTTCAGTTCGGAAATCAGGAAAAACAAAACCAAAAACCAAATCCCTGATACTATTTCTGGGGGATGGAAAAGAATTATCCCTGGGTTAATTTCTCATGGTCACTTTTGAAACAGCCTGGGGGCTGGGCCACTTGTCCCCTCCTCCTGCTCCCCCACTCCCGCAACAGGGTTCCTTCCTTGGAGCTGCTGAACTTGCGTAAGTGACACCCTCCTCCTTGAGGGAGAAGCCAGGGTCCCCCAGGACAGCCAGGTGAGTGGCAATGAGCGTGTGACCGAGCGCCTCACTCCTCGTGTTGGCTCACCGACCTCTGCAGACTTCAGTAGCACTTCTGTGCAAAACCCCACAAGAGCTCATCAGTTCACACACCCCTTATTTGGACCTAGCAAGTCCAGCCACCTGGGACAGAGCTGAGATTGATCTCTGCAAAGTGCGAGGCCAGCTGGGCGTTTAGCAGTGTCACTGAGGACACAAGGAGAGAGCTGATTCTGCCTAGGTCACGGCCGCTTTAAAGGACTCAGCCCCAAGCCTTCCCCTCCCCAAATGTTGCCTGCTAGCTCACTCCTAACCCTCTCGCCCTTTGACCTGGGGCAGAGAGTTGGCTGATACTGACCCCCAGGGACTACCTTAGCCTGCCGGAGCCTCAGTTTCCTTGTTTGTCAAGTGATGATAATAATTTCTAATTCTCAAGGTTCCTTGATGATGAACTGCCGCCCTATAGGGGGTGGCCCCACCTGGGAAGGAGGGTGGCTGGGTGTTTGGGGGCTACACCTGGGGAGAAGGCTGAGATGGACCCGGGGTTGCCACTTTCAGGCCCTGACTCGTTGCCCCTGCCGGGCCCCGCCTGTGGGTACCCACGTCCCTTGGCCCCGTCCAGGTCCAGCAGCGGACACTGCACGGGAAGCTGTTCAATCTCACGGAAACAGCTGCAGCTCCTGCCCCGGCCCCTGACTCCGCCCTGTGGCCCTCCTGCCCCCCACTCGATGCCTGGTTCTCATGGCAAGGAGGACTCCCAAGGAAACCAGACCCCACCCAGGCACCCCTACCAAATGTCTTCCTTTTTCCCATGCCAGGGGAGCATCTTCAGTGCTCCCCCGTTGGCCGCGGCACAGCAGCCCCACAGGGGACACCCTCAAACCCCATAACCAACTGTGCCTGGGTTGGGGCACACAGCAGATGGCCCAGCAGTGCCCCAGGATCCACTCCAGCCTCTGTCACAGCCACCCTGCCTCTGCCAGGAGACAGACACCTTCTCCAGCCCGCCTTTCCATGCTTGCAAGCCACATCGCACACACGTTCACACGCACGGATGCACACACTCTGTAACACACACAGTGACAGTCCACACCAGTACCACACCTGGATGCCAGATCGCCCGTGTCTACATGTGTACATGTCTGTCAGGTGGCAGACTTTTGCACATACTAAGGAGCGGCTCCATATACCTCCTCCAAATATACGCATACCCCTGTCTAAGGATGAACCTGTGAGCAGACATATGTACCTTTCCAGAAATCCCTTCCCCTGTTCAGTGACACAGCCGGGCATCTGCACACATGCACACCTGTGCATGTACATATACATATATGAGCACACAGCACGCTCGTTCCTGCACACACACACACACACACACACATACACACACACAAATGCATACCAGGAGTCCCCGCCCGCCTCAGCAGGGAGAACACAGCAGCAGCTTCCCAACCTGCAAACCCATCCTAAGCGGAGCCCTGGCCTTCCTCACGGGGGATCCCGACTTCCCAGGGATCAAGGAACCTGCTGAGGTCACACAGCTCACTGCCGTTGAGCTGGCATCAGCCCAGGTTCCCTGTCCCCAGGGCTGGTGTGCACCCCAGCTGTGTTCACAGGTGTGCAGACTGTGATGTCTCCAGACCCAGGGGTTCCTGCTGGGCCCTCCCCCAGGATGCTCTGATCCCCCTACGGGGCGGGCACCCGGGCATCTGAGTAGGGGCCCCCTCAGCCTCGCAGGGCAGCAAAGCTGGATGCCGGGTTGGGACTATTCTGAGGGTGTCTGTTTGACAGGTTCCTCCTGGGCACACGGCTGGCTCCTGGGAGGGGCAGTTCCAAGGACCCAGTGGCTGAGGGGCTCCCACCTGGGACCCCTTGGAGTTCCCAGGGATGAAGGTCTCCCCCTTGTGCGTCCAGTCACCTGGCCCAAAGGGCCCGCTGCGGACAGGGGCGAGGGGCCCTTACCTCCAGGCCGAGAGGGGTGGAGGATGGACAGCAGGAGCAGGAGGACTCCGGGCCGCGGGGCCGCCGCCGTCAGACCCGCCATCTCGGGGAGAAATGCCCCAGCCCGCTCTCCGCACCTCGTTTTATCCCCCAAGCCTAATTGCTGCCTCGTCGGCTGCGAGGGAAGGAGGGAGGGAGAGAGGGCGGGCGGGAGGGCAGGAGAGGGGGGAGGCCTGGGGGAGGGGGCCGCGGGGAGGGGACAATTACGAAAGGCCCAGCTCACAAGCCTCCCAGGCCCGGGCTGCTGGACTGCGAGCTTTTTTCCTTGACACACACACGCACACACAGGCACACAAGCGCACACTCACACACACACACTTTCCCCCATCTCTTTCCCGCTTTCCCTCTGCGACTGTTCTTTCGCTGCTGGCCCTGTTCCCGCCAGAAAGAGCGAGGGGGGCCTCTGCCAGGACAGCCCTCGGGAGAGGAAGCAGGAGGGAGGGCCTGGCGGCCAGGCCAAAAATCCCAGCCCCAGCCAAGGCCCGAGTGGCCAGGCCCCCGCCCCTCCGGCTGGGCCCCGGGCCCAGTGTGGGGACACGGGCCAGCTGTCCCGCGCCTCAGCCCCCACCCCGGCCCTCCAGACTCCCCAACACCCCCAGGCCTGGCTAGAGACAGGTTCTGCCCACAGCTGGGGAGGGGAGCTATTGGGCAGCTCTGGGGACTCAGGGGGTGCTATGTCTGTAGAGGTCGGGGGGCTGCAGGTTGAATGGTCTGGAAGGTAGGATCGGGTTGGTATGGCTCTGGGAGGGATCTGGGGGGAGGTGGGGGACCCTGGACAGGGCTGCATTTTGCAGGGGCCAAGATCTCAGCCTCCCACCTGAAGCTGGGGAGGAGGTGTTGGGCGGGTCTGGGGTGGATGCCTGCAGAGGCCAGGGGGCTAGAGGCAGGGGAATGGCCTGGGAATTAATGCCATGTTGGTGCTGTCTCCAAGGGCATCTGGGGCACATGGAGGATCCCGACACGCAGGGTTCTCTTCTGCATGGGTCAAGCTCACAGCCCTATACCCAGCCCCAAGCAGGTCTCAGGGTCTGGCAAAAATCAGCCTGGATCCCCAGGTGCTCTGTGGGGGAACAGGGAGGTGGGAGCCCCGGCAGACTGAGAGGCAGCCCAGCTTCCCATTATCACTGGGCCACCTCCCATCCCCACGCTGCGCGCAGCTAGCGCCCAGACCAGCCTGGGAGCTTCTGGACTGCTGTTCTCCCGGTCCCCTCTGGGAAGGCTGGTGTTCCTCTGCTGGCCAGGAGGGGGCAGCCTGCACTGAAACAGCTGGGACCACATTCCTGGAGAACTCTGCATTTCTGCCCCCAGGACTGAGCTGGATGGGGACTCTGGGGAATTTTTGGGTTTGGAGTGTGGGATGGAACAGGGGAGGGTCATGTCCCCCAGCCCTCACTTCCCACTACTGCTAGTGGAGAAGAAATGTGAGACCTAGAGAATAGGAGAGGGAAACTTGTCCCTTGTCCTAGGTCACAGCCGGTCAGGGGACAGCATGGAAGCCACATGCCCTGTGGGCTTTTCTCGGCACCACGATGGCTCCAAGGGATGAGTTAAAGGCCCCTTGTGCAGGCAGGAGCACTGTGGCAGTCTGGGGTGCCAGCAGGGGTGGCCCGGCGTGGAAAGGTCAAATGCAGGCCTTGGTCAAAGGCAGGCATTGGTGGACCTAAAAGTAAATTTCTGGCTCTAGCCTTTCTGGTGGGATAATCTCTCCACAGAGCGTCAGTTTCCTCATCTGTCTACAGGTGATCAGTATTCCTAGCTAAGAGATTATCGCAAAGACAAATACAACACGGTCCTGCTTTTCTGCTAGATCAAAAATGCTCTGTGTTCAGCTGGTACCAGGACTGGTGTCAATACCACGATTGCCATCACTCGCTCGGCAAGCGTTCTGCTTCTAGGACAGCTATCAGGCTTCGGTCTATACGGGGCCACCCCGGGACCCTGGACAAACCCTTCCCTTTCCCTGGGTCTTTGGAGGGAGCAGCTCTGGAATTTTGGAAGGTAGGGGCGTGCCCGGAGAATTGTGAATGATCTTGAAGATGTGCACACACAGCCAGTGTACAGCTCTTACTTATGGTATGTGTTTATTTGGGGGTACTTTGAGGGTAAGCTGATGGAGATTATGCTGGGGTGAAAGTCCCCCCCAAGCCACTGTTTGTGGGTAGGGGTAGGGGCTGCTCAGGGACAGGGTCTGAAGCCCGATGCCTGGGATGTACCTACTGCAGGGGAGGGGAAGTCAGTGCTGTATCTGCGTGCCTTCCGCTTCCTGGGAAGGAGGAAGGCAGGGGGTACTGTGGGGAGCTGGACCCCTCTCCTCTCGAGGCAGTGACGTGGGCAGGAACCAGCTTTCAGACTTGCAAACCGCAGTCTGCACAGAGTCTTCATTAATTCCAGGACGGGGAGAGAGTCCGGAGCCAGGGGGAGAGAGCTTGCAGTCGGGGGGGATCCAGGAGGGGTGTGGAGGGGCACTCGCAGGAATAGACTTGAGGTGGCTGGAACAGACCTCTCGCCCGAGGCCTGGGGCCCTGTGTCCTGCCCCCAGCCTGTGTGCTGCTCCTGCTTAGCAGCCTCTGCTCGCTGCAGGAGCTCCACGAACATACACGCAACGCCGTGTAGTCTGATGCATGCAATACATAAAGTAAGGACTGGAGATGACAGTCATCGGCCACCATTCATTCATTCATTCATTCATTCATTCATTCATTTACTTGTCCATTCAAGACCCATCAGTGCTCAACTGCTTAATATCACCTCCTTGCCTACCTGTATGACTAAATAAGGTCATACATGCGGAATTGCCCACAGAGGGCTACCGGGTGCACCTGGCTGCCTGGTGATCGCTGATCTTGCAGTTATCGTTGACAAGCCTTGCCCACTTGTTGCCTGGCTCAGTGCTAGCAAGGGGCAACCAGATGAGTCACCCACAGGCCATCTCTGTCTTCCAGCTCCTGTGGGTGCACCCATTTTGGAAGGACAGAGTTCCCAGTCTCTGGATGGCTCTGTGAACGTCATTGCTTTGCTCAGACACCCTCAGTCGCTATCCAGACAAAGTTCAGATTTCTTTTTTCTTTTTTTTTTGAGACGGAGTCTTGCTCTGTCGCCCAGGCTAGAGTGCAGTGGCGCGATCTCAGCTTACTGCAATCTCCGCCTTCCGGGCTCAAGGGATTCTCCTGCCTCAGCCTCTCAAGTTGCTGGGATTACAGGCACCCACCACCATGCCCAGCTAATTTTTGTATTTTTAGTAGAGACGGGATTTCACCATGTTGGCCAGGCTGGTCTCAAACTCCTGACCTCAGGTGGTCCGCCTGCCTTGGCCTCCCAACATGCTGGGATTACAGGTGTGAGTCACTGTGTCCATCCCCTCCTATGATCTTAAATTTACTAGTAGCCATATGAAATAAAAGAAAACATAAGTAAAACTATTCTTAGTAATATATTTAACACAACATATCTAAAGTATAATCCTTTTCAACATGTAATCAAAATAAAAAATATTGAGATATTTTGCATTATTTTTTGCACCAGGTCTTAAAACTGGTGTGTATTTTGCATCGAGGGTGCGTCTCAGTTTGGACTTGTCACATTTCAAGTGCTCCATTAGCCACACGTGGCCACAGCTGCCACGGGGACAGCGCTGGTTTAGACCATAAGAGGACTGGTGAGATGAGCCCGCCTTAGTTCTTTTTTGGTTGTTTGTTTTGTTTTTTGAGAAAGAGTCCTTCTCTGTTGCCCAGGCTGGAGTGCAGTGGCGCGATCTTGACTCACTGCAACCTCCGGCCCCCCAGGTTCAAGCAATTCTCCTGCCTCAGCCTCCTGAGTAGCTGGGATGACAGGCATGTGCCACCACGCCCGGCTAATTTTTGTATTTTTAGTAGAGACGGGGTTTCTCTGTTTTAGCCAGGCTGGTCTTGAACTCCTGACCTCAGGTAATCCTCCCACCTCGACTTCCCAAAAATGCTGGGATTACAGGCGTGAGCCACCGTGCCCAGCCAGAGCTAGCCTTAGTTCTGATGCACTTGGAGGGGAATCTGGATCCTGCTATGCAGTGGTTCAAAGTGAGACGAGGCTTGAGGACAGGGCAGAGGGACAGAGAAGGAGGGATGTCCTTGGAGGCTGGCAAGGGGCACCCGTGACAAGCAGCCCCAAAGGAGAGGCCCTGCCTTCGTGCTGGTGACCGAGCCAGAGAGGGCGGCTACCTATTGTGGGGTGCCCGGCAGCATCGGCCCAGAGCCAGTACCTCAGCTGGAAAATGAAAGCGACTTCTGAAGCTCCTCTCTTTCCAGAGGCCACCAGGGACCCCTCAGACGGACGGCCAGGAAAGAAAGGGGTCTGGCGCGGGCACAGGTGTCACAGGTAAAGGGGCTACAGCCGAAAATAGATTGAATGCCTGTGGGTCTGGGCCATTCGCTGGGTGTGCCTTCATCACACAGAGTCAGCCCAAAAGGCTGTGCTTCGAGGGGTGCGTTGGACGTTGTGGGATGGAGGCTGAAATTCTGGAATGCGGTGCTTCTGCAACCCCCCAGGCTGGGACTGGGTTCGGAAGGGTCGGCAGTCATTGTTGTGGTTGTGATGGGGACTGATATTGATTAGGGTATGAGTTTGGCCAGATTATCTAATAATAACGACGTATAGTGGCATCGACAGTCATTAACCCCTAGAATCCCTGGTTTCGTCCTATGAAGACAGCGATCTTCATAACCATTGAAGAGTACAAACGTATCTGTAAGAATTTGGTATACAGCAAGTGCTTAAATATGGGAGGGGGATCCATGACACCATTTCAGGCCACTGATCATGGCTGGGTGGAGAGGCAGGCATAAGAGGAAACCCCATCCTTGTGAGTTCTGCCCCCCGCAACCTCCAGGCCATGCCTTGTTTCCTCTTAGCCCGGGTGTTTGCGTGTCTGAGTCATTTGTCAGTCTGGATCTTTGGCCAGTGTGAGCCGGGGGTGGGGAGGTGGGTGTCCCGGACGGGCTGTTCTGCCCTGTGCTGTTCCTACAGTGCCTGACGGGCTGTCTGTTGCCATCTGGAGGGAAACATTGTGAGTCGACCCAGCTCTGTGCACCCTCTTCCCATGGGACCCGGGATGGAGGAGTCCAGAGCACGCCTCTCGTTTGCTTGACACTTGACCGTTTACAAAGCACACTTCCATTTTCCACTGGGGATATTATTATCCCGGTTAACAAGCAGAAGGGTTAGGAGCCCTGTCTATGAACTCGGCACTACCCGAAAGAGCATCTTGGTGTCTGCCTTAGATCTGTTTAATTTAAGCCAATGTCACACAGGTGGGTGGCAGTGAATTCCATCCCAGTCGCTGGATCTGTCTTCCCCCACTTCCACCCCCCACCAAAATTCAGCTATCTTAGAGCCTGGAGATAGTAGGGGCCCTGACTCCCTGACCCCCTTGTTGGAACCTGTGTGCTCCTGTGCACCCCAAGACTGTGCTGGAGTCTGAGGCTGG